CATTGTTATTATCAGGTTGCCCTTAACTCACTGAAAAGCCTTTATCCATCCATTCCCTTCCGCTTATCCTTTTCAGGGTCGCGGGAGCCTATCCCAGCTGTCATAGGGTGAGATGGGGGGTTCACCCTGGACAGGTCGCCAGTCTGTCGCAGAGCTAACACACAGAGACAGACAACCATTCACGCTGGGCAATTTGGATTATTCAATTAACCTATCCCCACAAACTGCATGTCTTTGGACTGTGGGAGGAAGCCAGAGTACCTGGAGGGAACCCACGCAAACATGGGGAGAGCATGCAAACTCCACACAGAAAGACCCCGGCCTGATGGTGGAGTTGAACTCAGGACCTTCTTGCTGTGCGGCAACAGTGCTAACCACCGTGCCACCCTGAAAAGCCTTTGGTTTATCCAATATACTACAGCAAGTCTACTGACAGAGACTAGAAAAAGGAAGCATATTAGTTTCTCTTCAGTGGCTCCCTCTTGACTGCAGGCTTACTTGTAGTTCCTAGCATATTTAAAAGTATAATGGGAGGCAGAGCCTTCAGCCTTCAGGCTTCTCTTCTGTGGAACTAGCTCCCAGTTTGGATTCAGGAGACGGACACCCTCTTTAATTTTAAAATTAGGCTTAAAACTTCCCAGTTTGATAAAGTATATAGTTAGGGCTGGATCGGGTGACCCTGAATCCTCCTTTAGTTATGCTGCAACGAGCCAAGGCTACTGGAGGGCTTCCCATAAGATTCCCATCTGAACGGTTTCTTTTCCACCTATCTTTTTTCACCTACTCACACTCACACTGTTTATACAGCACTCTAGATTTACTTTGGATTAATCATTAGTTATTAATAATCTCTGGCTCTTTTCCACAGTGTGTCTTTTCTCCTGTATCCCTCCCGTCACCCCAGGAAGAAACGTTGTTTCAGGTTTCTTCCTGAAACAACGTTTTTCCGGCTGTTGTGATTTGGTGTTATATAAATAAAATTGAATTGAAAAGCAGTTTTCTATAAAAGCATCTCGAGGAAAGCGGTTGTAATCATATACACATATTTCTATCTACAACCGCACCAGTTTCTGATGAGAAAAATGTGAGTTATGTATCCTTTCCTGTGTCTGCTATAATGCCAGGTACTTATTTGGAGCCTGTCTGCCCTTGTCAGGTTGATACTCTTCCACTAATGTCACATAATGTTTTGTGATGCAATGTTAATTGCCCTGTGGATGCATCAGGTGTTACAAGTGTATACTATACAGTACTGCAGAGTTGTGTGCCACATATTATACTAAATAACAGTAAACACAAGTGTCTCTTGGCTAAATACGCTTCACTGTCAGAGAAGCATGTGGAGTTGGATTATTCATGAACGTTTAGGTCACTGACATGAATAGAGAGCAGAGGTGATTCTCGTACTCAGAATAGTTGCACAGATATGTGCGCATTGTACACACACAAAGTATGCAGACTGTGATCAGCACTGTTTCAATCAAAATATGAGTGAAGCTGAGCTTTGAGAATAGACGTGGGGTACTTTTCTGATGTTTTATGACTCTAACAGTTAACTAACAGATTAATGAGTAATGAAAATAATTGGTAGTTACAGGCATGTATTTGAAACGGGGAGCGCACAGGGAACGGTTGTATGAGCGACCTTCCCTTCTTTCTTCTTGAAAAGTCAGTAGTAGCCACTGGCTTAATACTGGAAAATGGGTCTTTAGTGGCCAACTTTATATGCTTGAATTACTGTAATAACAACACATCATATCTTTTGTTTTCCCTTTACTTTTTTAAGCTCCATTTTAACTGTTTTCTCTCTCTGCCTTTTACTAGATGACTATGTCCCTGCAAGGGCTGGATGTAACCGAAGAAGCTACGGTAGGGAGTTCAACCTTTAACCACAACTAAATATTGTCCACACGGGTAAAAAGGCCTCAGAGCCTTTTCCTCAGTGGTTGCTATAGTAATGCATAATTATTTGTTAGCACTTGGGTCTTGTGTGGTAACTATGCACATGACAGATTTAGCAACCTCTCCTCAGTGCTTTATTAGTATGGTTTATGGCTTTGCTCAAGTGTCTGAGCTCATTGAGGTTGTTATAATGTAAAAGCTTTGAAATTTGCTGGCTTTTTATGATGTGCACATTTTTAATGTTTGGGTTTTCACTTGCTTTAGTTTCTTCCCTTTCTCACTATAGGTGCCCGTGAAACAGATCGAAATGAGCACAATCAATAAGGTGGGAGGCTTTTTAAAACATTTTTTTAAAATACTTTTTTACCCGCAGCTGCCATTAAATATGCACTCATATAAAAAGTAAGATTACAGATGCAATAACTGTTTATTTCATTGTTAACAGAAAAGTATCAGAGATTTAATATGAAATATAAAATTATACTTTTCACCTGATGATGCTTTTGATAACTATTTTTTATTTCTAGGGTTTCAGGTACACATAAAAGTGTGTGTGTATCAGTAGTTTAAAGTTTGGTTAGACTTACTGTGTGCTTCATTAACAAACAACAGAAAGACACAACTAATAAATGGTTAACTTCATGATCCATCTGTGAACACCAAAACCAAAATAGACGTAAAAAGAGAGAAAGAGAGAGAGGGGACATCATCTACAAATTAAGCAAATGTTGCTTTGTAATTTGAGTGGGGGAAGAAATTGATAGAGCATCGGAATACCAGATGTGTTATCTATACAGGCAAGCTAAATAGATTTACTGTAATTTTACTATTTTGTCAGTGAGGCTGCTTTTTCTTTTTTTTCTTTTTTTTTCTGATCAGAGTTTCCACAGTGGATTTTGGATTTTGGACATCTTGGTGGTGCAACGATTAGCACTGGGCTCCAGTTTAGACCTTCCTACAATATTTCCACTGTGGTTACATTGCGATGTGGTGTTTTATCTATTAGATGGCGAGGCATCCAAAGTACTGTCCTGGAGTGAACAACAGTCCAGGTTACCTGTGTGAAACGGGACATTGCTGCGGGGAGACGGGCTGCTGCACCTACTACTATGAACTCTGGTGTGAGTCAACTGACCGCTTCTTCTCTGCTGTGCTACTGAGGAAAGGGTTCTGATTTAATGGCTGTTTATCGTTCATTACTCAGACCTGCTGGGAAACATTCAAGGTGTCCTATTATGCTTACCTGCAGCTCTAAAGTCCTGGTCTCATAATCTACTAATGTTGTTGCCTCCGCCAAGGAGGTGATGTTTTTTATAGCCTTTGGTAGCTGTCATTCTTCCTGTCTGTAAACGTGGTACATTAAAAAGCTTCGAATGAATTCTGATAAAACATCGTAGGCGTGTAGAGTGGGGTCATGTTAACAATCCATTAAAATTTGGTTTACATTCAATTCAGTTTTATTTATGTAACACCAAATCACAACAACATGACCCTATTATAATAATTATAATAATAATAATAATAATAATAATAATAATCATCATCATAATCATAATCATAATAAACACTCAGACAACCCCAGATGACCAAGCACTTGGTGACAGTTCAAAGGAAAAACTCCCTTTTAACAGGAAGAACCAGAAGAAATCTCTGGTTTCTTTTGATAGACCCATTAAAGCACTACTAAGACTTTCGATGTCAACTTAATGATTTAATGGTCGAAAACTGACAAAAAACATTCTAACCTAGAAACTATGATGCTTACAAATTAGATGTGTACTGCAAAAATATAGGAAATACCACATTGTCACATTTGACCTCTACTTTAACCTCCTAGGACCTGGCGTCCACATATGTGGTCATCACATTTTGGGTTGTCTAGACCAAAATACAAAATTTTGCTCTACAAGGGCCTGATTTCCACTTACGAGGACATTATACTACCTCTGTTCTATCTAAATTTAAAGCAAATATCCTCATATGTGGATCTCATTTCTCTCAGAAACAAAAATCAGGTAAAAAAAAATAAATCTGGTAATTCTTTGTTTTTACATTAATCAGGTCCCAATCAGCCCAAATGGCAAAGAGAATTTAAAAATGCGTGCCATGAAAGAGTTCGGGTCTTAGGAGGTTAAATTCAGTAGATTGATCTGAAGGCTAAAGTGTTTTTATTGACAGCATATGGACATATAGGGAACGATATATGGAGATTTTAAATATTATGTTACTTTGGACCGCTGACCTCTCCTTTAAATTCAAACAAGGTCAAATTTCAAAAATTAAAATTTTGTTAATATTGGCAATCTGTAGGAGATGATACTGTTATGTTCAGATTCAAAATATCACATTATAGTTTGCATCCAGATTTTATGTCATATTTGACCTCTGACCTCACTTTGATGTTACACATCTTCCTTTCTTGGTGGAGGTTTGCGCTCTTGGAGTGTTTCTAGTTCTTACATGGTTCAGTTTAAAATAATCCTTAATGTTTACGTTCAGTTAGGAAGATCTGTAATCTATCATCTGTCGTCTTGGGGGTTCGGCTGCTTTCTGGTCTTTACATTGCTACCACTTTCCCAACCCTCAGTCTTCATCTTCGCAACCACCCTGGGTGTTCCTGTCCTAAATCCTATCGCTGCTGGGATTCCCCGCTGCCGTGATAGGTCGTCAGAGTCTAGTCACATTCCTCCATAAATTCAGTTCTTCCTTATCTCTCCTCATTGAAATGTGCCTTGGTGCGGTGCTTTTATGTGTCCTTCCCCCGTCTTTAAGACAGCTGTTTTAGGATTGGCTCGCTTGCACAAACAGAAAATTTGAATAGTGTGTGCGCTGGGCTGTTGGTTACCTGATGGGCCTGAAAGCTCAATGAGTCCTTTGATAAAAAGCAAAACTTGTGTGAAAGCCGAGTAAATCTGAGATGAAATTCAGCTAACAGACCTGAAGGTTACGTTTTCTTTGTTTGTTTTCTTTATCTCGATGGCCACTCATTTCCTGTTTTCTACAGGGTTCTGGCTCTTGTGGACGGTGCTGATCCTCTTCAGCTGTTTCTGTGCTTACCGCCACCGCCGGGCCAAGCTGAGAATTCAACAGCAGCAGAGGCAAAGAGAAATCAATCTGATCGCTTACAACGGCGCTTGCAACTACCCTTCATCAATGCTGGACCTCAGTATGTTTGCTTCATTTTAAATCACACATGCTGTAGCTTTTGAATACTAAATTAATCAGTTCCACAGACTTTGCATGCGTTATGATTTCCTTGCACCACTTTTTCTGAGGAAATAGAAATATGCCTACATTTAGATACTTCAAAATAAGTCTGTTAACAGGCATCATATGGAAGTAATAAAGCATAAATGTAAGCGTGTTTTGTTAAATGAACTGTTTTGTGGAGTTTTTAATTGAGGAAAGAGGCTCATGCTTTTAATGTAACAGCGAGTAAAAATCTTCATATAGAAGCTTTTGGTGTGCACATCAGTCTGTTTGCAACTCACCAGTGTGTGATGCAGCGCAAAAGCCAGCCAAAGGCACAGACAGAACTCAGAGCAAAGATTTGAGGACATGTTTGTTATCTAAATTCTATTATCGGCAAACATCTCTCAAGTCTACCGCAGATTTACTCCATTAGTGATGCTTTCCGTCTTTTGCCTGTGGTGAAAAACTGTGTGGACTGTGATCGATTGACAGCTTCTTGTAAACCTAGTGAAACCTATTTGCATTGTTATTAAACCGTGATCACGCAAAGAATGGACACAGTTAAAAATTACGTTAATCTAGAAGTTTTGACATTTTAGGAAACAAAGTTAAAGGTTATCATTTTGGATGGTCTTTCACATGCTGCGTCATATACGTCCAACTATTCCAGAAGTGGTAAACAAACACCAGATGTAGCACAAGGTTTCATACTTAACTATGTTTTTGCACAGCTAGTTTTAGTTAACTACAATAAAAATAAAAACTAGACTTTTGGAAGGAAAAAAATTAACCAATTTTGTGAACTAAAACAAAATAAAAATGGAGAGCAAACATCCTGAGTTTTAGTATCTGTTAAAAGATGTTAGAGGAGGCTTTGATGGACATGTATTAGAAAATACAAAACTTTGATAACTGATGTAGCAACAGAAATGAAACACAGGAGCTAGAAAACTTTCAAGGGAAACATGAGGTACAGCAGACAATAAGGAAGACTGAACTATTTATAAACTGTGAGTTAATTAGGGAAGTGAAAGACGGCTGGAGAACAAGCACTGCTGAAAGTAATAGGAAAAAAATTGTTTCTTGAGTCTTGATGTGACTAACTATGGAAGGAAAATAGAAATACAGTGGTGCTATAACACGGTTCACCTTTCGCGGCCTTGCTGTTTCACAGATTTTTGTGTGTGCAATTTTGCATGCTTTTTTAATTTTATTTATTTTTTTACAGTTTTCACAATAAAGCTCAAGATCCTGTTGAGACTTTTCAAAATAAACTGAATCACGTGAAAGAGCAGATTATTTACGGATGACAAGTAAAAAAGAGCCGTCAGGTGCTAAAAAATAAACCTTAGACTCAAACGTTAGAACAGGCTTTTCCCTGCAGCACGTCGTGTAAAAAATACTCACAAAGAAAACAGCGGCCGTTACAACTTGTGTCTAAAAATGTATCGTTTCATGCATCGGTTAAAACACTCGACTCCAGCTACATGACGCGCAGCTGGAAACACTTCCGGCAAGTCGAGATTCACAGAATTGACAGAAAATGTTACATTTTTGTGATTTATATCGTTATCGGAACGATAAAATTCTTATATCGGGATATGAGATTTTGGTCATATCGCACAACCCTATAGTGAGGGGTTTTACAGCCTTAAAACATCTATAATGTAAAAAATAAAGTTAGCTACTTCATGGATTTCACCTATCGTGGGTTATTTTTAGAACGTAACTCCCGCAATAAACGAGGGACCACTGTGACCCAAAGGAAAACGACTTACAACAGAGATAAGAACCTATAACACAAAAACTAAAAGACTTCAGGAGAACAAGAATAAAGTAAAGCCAGAGATCACTCTATAGAATAGTAAAGAATTCAAACCCAAAACTTGAAAAATATAGACATCACATGCTAGAATAGCAGAAACACCTTCAGACAGAAATTGGGAAGGAAAAATTCACAGATTCTAAAAATAACACAAAACCAAAGGAGCGTGACGCCAGCAGGTTCACACTCATACCCATCTCACCGTGAAGCTCCCTCTCCGCCCTGGCATGTGGGAGGAGTAAGCTTCGACTACAAATGAGCTTGCCACACCACACCAATGAGGCATAACCCCATGAGAAAGCTAACTGACATGTAACACTAGTCTGCGTACCCGGAGCTGAAGCCTAAAAGTGTGTTTCTTTCGTCACAGGTTTTCTGGCTTCCTTCAAGTTGCCCTCTTACGAGGAGGTTGTTGCGCAGCCCAGCACCCCTCCCCCTCCTTACAGCTCCATCTTTGCACTGCAGGGAGGTGCCACAGTAGGTCCTAGCTCCTCTTACCCCCATCATCACCACCACCGTCACCCCTGCCCTCCCTACTTGGGCCCCGGCCCCAGCGGTCTGACCTCCTCACAGAGCTCTGATAACTACACCAGCTGCTCCTGTGAGTCTTGCTCCCTCACCTCCCCGTCCAGCACCTCCTTCTCTGTCCAGGTGACGGATGAGACGTACGACAGCAGCCACATGTCCACGCCCAGTGAAGCAGGAGGAGATTTGGCCGTGGTGCCAAGGGTCGGGGTCCCCTTCACGCTGATGCCATCGCCACCCTCGCAGGTTCCACCTGATGTTATACCTGCGGTCACTCCAGATGTCATTCCGGTGCAGAGATGTTCCTCTAACGGTAGTGAAGGAGTCTCGCCTCCATCTCATCCACTTGCTCTCACTTTGCACTCCCGTCCTTCACACTCCTCTCGCCTTCCGCTCTCTCCCCTCTCGCTGCTATCTTCAATTCCCGCTGGTCAAGTCCACCCTCTCGTTCCATCGGACCCACTCGGAGCCATGGCTCTTCAGAGAGCGAAAGAAGAGACGTCACCTCATGATCCAAAAACCAGGCCCCTGCACTCAGCTCCTAAGCAGGCTCTCCTCTTATCAAACGTGGCTGTCTCTGTGCACTGCGGCGGCAAGGAGGAGCAAAAAAGGGAAAAAGAAGAAGAAGAGGAGGAGGACGACGACGAAGACGAGGATGAGGAGGACCATTTCCGGCATCGACGGCTGACGGGTGACTCGGGTATTGAGGTGTGCCGCTGCCATGTGAAAAGAGGGCAACAAGAGGATGAGGACCCAAAGAAGGGGCGCTTCGATAAGGGAGGGAAATATGTCGTGAAGGAAGGGGAGAAGGTGCTGCAGGACGGCGTGGACTGTTCCCAGCAAAAGAAGGTCGCCGCACAGTCGTCCAGCACGGACGACTGCGCGGAGCAGCGCGGCCATGTCTCTTCGCCTTCTAGCGTCATCATTAACAGAAACGAGGCTATCATCACTGTGGAGTCCCTGTAAGTAAACAGCCATGGAAGGAAGGAAAAGTGGGATAGCCTTTGTAACCGGATGAGTGACGAATTAAAGGAAAAAAAGAAAGCGATCGGTCTTAGGGAAGATTTGAGCTATCAGAACAGATTCACTGCATCTTAGTGTTGGTTCTACAAATCTCTGTAAATCTACTGAAGGGATGGCACACTATTTTTTTTGTCCTTTTTTCTTTAAAAAAAAAGGGGGCATTTGGATGATGGTTGTAGAAAGTCTCCAAAATCTTCCATTAGTGTATAACTGAGCTGAGATCAGGTGACTGCACAGGCATTAGCAAAATTATTGACATGATTTTCATACTCATCCAACCACCCAGTGACCTCTGATGGACCGCCCTGTGGACGGGGACAACCCTGGAAGACTACTACGTTAATAAGACGAGTGAACTATACCAACAGCTTCTGGGTTTTCCTTTCATTTGTCATCCGCCTGTCGATGAAGACTTAAGAAGTGAAAAATGTGATCACTGAAGAAAAGTCTTGGAGAGCTTACAGAAATGTCTGCAAGCCATCAGATCGGATGAGTAACATTTTTAGGAGGGGGTCTCTGTATTTTATTTTGGGATCCCCAGACCTCAAAGTTCTTGTGATTTATAAGAGATGATTTGGGTTTGTTGTGGAGTACGAGGTGTTCTTTTCTTAAAATGCAAATGGCTCAAAATCCTAAAAATAATTCCACTTTCTGCATCCTTTTCTTGCTAGAGCCACTATGATAAAATGTTTGTCAGTGTTTCTCTGTACGAAGCATCGAAGCAGCATTTTTAGCTCTGAAATGGAGCTCGTATCACCGGCTGCCAGCCTGTGGATATAAAATATTCTGACTTTTGTCAAATCCACACATTTTAACATAAAATATTGGTCATCTTTTTAGGCATTAAAACATTGAAAGACCTTTTCTTTTTTTTATTGGAGCCCACTTCCCTTATCATAGATAGATTGATTCAGTGGGTCAGTGTTTTATACCTTGTGTCTTATGTTGCCTCCTTCTTAAAGATTTTTTTAAAAAGGGGGGCGGGTACAAACTTTAATTAAATGTGCAGGTGGCAAAGCTTTACTATGATATTGTAGTTATACATTATAGTTTCAGACTGTTACATCAGTATACTGTATACTTAGCCAGCTGTTTGTCTTTGGGTTCAGTGCAGTTTTAACGTGCTCCTGCCTTTTGCAAGGCAATATCACTCTGAATCCTCGTGTTGAGTTTTTTACTAGGCGCACACTTTAAGCCTAAACTGATAATGAATGTAAAAGGTTATGCATTGCAACAAAAAAACGCACTCAAAGCTGTTTTTTGAGGATTTTTTTATAGCATGATGCTCGACTGAAAGCTTTTTTTTGTTTGTTTGTTTGTTTGTTTTTAACAAAAAGAAAAAAAATAACAGAGTTATGCCAGCGTGGCAATCCAGTCTGTAGGCGTGTGCTTCGAGAAGTCACTTTGGAAAGACGTGCCCATCGTGATGACTGTTTGTGTCGAGTGATGCTTGTTAAATATCAAAGGTGTAAATGTACAATGGAAGCATCTGAAGTCACAGAACAGAATCTCCTTTATTTTAAATACTGCTGTGGCAAAACGGGATTTCGCAGAGTCAGACTGTTTTTCTCTAAATGCCTCCTGGTTGATGACTAGTTGACATCCAGAGCAAGGCCAAGGATTACATTAGCCTGCCATGCTCACCTGGCGGGGGATAGCACATACGTTCTCTCTCGTAGTTATCTGTCAGTACAACAATGTGCTCAAAAATAAACGGAGAGCGCCTCACAACACAATTTGTACATGTTTGTCTTGCCGTAGTTGTTATTATGAGACAAGGGTCTCAGTAGTTCGCTGACTGGAGGCCACGTTTTTCGTGTCCCTAGTTGTTTAATGCCTAAGGGCAAAGCTTTTAACTCTTAGTAGTGTGGAGAGAAATCTAATTTAGCACAGTTCACTCCTAAAAAAGAACAAGTCACATTTGCTCTTTTGAACATTCAGATGTGAGTTTGCATGGAAGTTTGAGTGGCAGTTTGCTTTCTGATGATCTCTTGATGATCATCTTCAAAGCACCTCTGCAGTGACTCGCTGATGGCCTGACAGAGATGGTTCATCCTCTGGACATACTGGCAAAAAAGCCTTTTTGGAGCCTTGCGTTTCTTCTCATTTTCATTAGTTTTAGGTAATGTGTGTCGTTGATCAGTGGTGCCTAGTTGAAAAAGTATTTTTCTGTTAGGAATCCGTAGTTTCCCAGCTAATGTGAGCGTGTGCGTGCGTGCGTGTGTGTGTGGATTAGGAATAGCTGTAAATCGAATGGCGAAAATATTTTCTAAGAGTACTTAGCAGTCTCTTTTTAAAATGCTCATATTACATGTGAGACTTGCAAAAATAGTATTTAGCAATAGTATTCACACTTTTTTTCCTTATTCTGGTTTATGCTGGCTGACAGGAAATGAGATGAACTGAAATGACATTTACCTCTTTATGACTCATATGCTAGCTGTGCTGGGCAAAGGCCCTCGATTGTACAAACACAGCAGTTTTTAAAAAAAATGCCTTTGGCGTAAGTGCAAACTTATATTATCGGGTTGTATTTTAAAGCCCCAGTGTGTGTCTTGCATGTTACTGACCTTAAACTTTAGTGTTTTGTATTGATTTTTTTTTTAAGCTCATCTGACTGAAGGTTCAGTGCGCTTACGCCATGGCGAGGCATCCGTCGTCCGTTTGTCCCACCGCAATTCACAAGAATCCGTACTCCTCCCAGAGTACTGGTCAGATTTTAATGAAACACAGTGATCACCTGATGTGTCTTCACCCACACTGTGCTCAAGGTCAAGGCTGTACAAGTCATTTTTACAAGAATCGCTTCTCCTCCTGGAGTATTGGTCTGTCTTTAGTGAAGCAAGGCTAGATAATCCTGGATACGACTGTTTGTGAGCCTCCTTGACTTCTCCCTCGACTTTAATTATCATTCATTTGTGCAAAAGAGCCGCACAGCTTTCTTTCTGTACTTCACACATTACAACAACCTTTGAACTGTGATGGATCATGAAGCAAATGAGCTGTAATGTCACTGACGCTTTGGTTAGTGAGTGCTTAGTTTTTTACATTTTATTGTAGATTTTAATTAGGATAATTGTCTTAAGGGGCATCATTCTGTTTTAAATTTTACACTTAGAAAAGAGGCCAAAAAATACCATTTTTATACGGTGTCCTCTTGATATTAGTTTAGAAAGTATCCATCTACTTTCTTCCGCTTATCCAGTTCAGGGTCATGGAGGCTTAGCTGGAGCCTTTGCCAGCTGCCATAGAGCAGAGGTGGGGTACACTCTGGACACGTTGCCAGTCTCATATTCATATGAATGGGCACTTTACAATGCTTGGAGTCTGAGAGTAAGCCAGAAAGAACAGGGAAAACATGCAGACTCCCAGAAACACTTCATGGATTTGAACCCAAGACCTTCTTGCTGTGAGGTAACAGGTTCAACCACTGCACTACCGGCATAGAAGCTATTAACAAAAACACAAAGTTAGTGTGTGGATCTATCGGATACTAGCTGAGGTGGTTCAGGCATCCGATTAGAATGCCTCCTGGGTGAGATTTCCTGGGCATGCCCCCGTGGAAAGAGGCCCCGGGGTAGGCCCAGGCCACGCCGGAGACACTACGTCCCTCAGCACTGCCTGGGAATGCCTCGGTGCTTTCCCCGAATGAGCTGAAGGAGGTGGCTGGGGAGAGGGAGGTTTGGGATTCCCTTTTGATCCAGCCCCAGATGAGCTGGTGGAAAGCGGATGGATGGATGGATGTTTAATTTCTATGACTGAACCTGAACGAGATGGTGAAACATAGGAGTCACACACTGGGGTTTATTGTATCCCGACTCCTGCTTTCATTTGACGTCAGTGTAAATAGAAGCAGTTTGATTTGTCTCGCCTTGTCAGAAGCCAATTTGTGTGGAGAAAAAGCCCCAGATTTTACCTTTGTTACCACTCTTTGGCCAAGGCCTGATATAAGACTGTTACCTCGCTCGAGTTTTGACTGTAAAGGACTGTTCTCTCCTTCTGAAGATAGTATCTACTATATATTTGTACTGATTTTATTTTGTAATGCCAAAAGTTAAAGAATTGAATTAAAAAAAAAAAAAAAAACAAACCTCACATTGGTACAGCCGTTGAACCATTTTGCCAGAAAACAAAAAACAAAACATCCAATCCTTTTGATTCAGGATAACTCAAGACTGTCTCCTTCTACTCCTGCAGCTACGAGACAGCAGCATATATAGCAGTATGTATATGTGACTGTACATGGAATAGTTCCGATTAATATTACTACAACATGTGGTGTACTTTGAAGGTATCTTTGTGCAATTCTACCTGCGGCTCTTCAGCGTGTCGTACGTATGTGTGAGAGAGTAACCGTGCCGTTTTCTTGTTAAAAATCACTGTCGCTTATTGTGAGGATAATGTTGAGTATAATGTTAACATAATAACTGTCGATTTAAAAAAATTAAAATGCCAAAACTTTTTCGTGTCATCATGGATATCAAGTTGATTTTGTATCTTGGTGTAAAGCAGATTCAGAGGTTTCCGATGCATACTGAGTGAGATGTTCTCACGTTTGTTGTGTCTGTTTGGTTGCACACCATCATGTTTTTTTGCTTTGTTTGTTTGGGGGTTTTTTTTGTTTTGTTTTTTGTTTTTTAGAAGGTGGGGTTGTATTTAGATTTCTTCCATCTCACTGATCATCACTGAGATTCTGCGATATTGGACGCAGACGTCTGCTTAACTCTATTGAACAGAAAACTGTGGATTTTGTGTCAAAATAAATGTGCTACCAAATACATGTGTGTACTTCTGCTTCACATTATACGCGCCTGTAGTTCTCACATATTCTGCTGTGAAATACACCCGATCTGCCGCCTGACTAATCTCCTACTCGTGAGTATCTGTCGCCGTGAATGACTCAGAATAAATCCGGCAGTCAGCTCTGACTCTGAGAGGTTTTTGACTTTTCCGAAGTTTGATATCTGTGTCCTTGCCTTGCTGGCAATGCAACAGTGATGATCACAGCACAAAGTATAAGAGGCTGAGAAGTGATCCTCTATACTCTAATCAGCCACTTTATTAGGTACACCTTGCTAGTACTGTGTTAGACCTATTTCAAACTTCACATTTGCTTTAATTCTTTATGGCAAAGGTTTAATGAGGTTTGGTGTATTATGCATTCAAAAATGAGTGGTTGTTTTAGTTACCTTTTTCTTTCCTACCTGCTCAAAGCCGGCCACTCTCGGCCACTCTCCTCTAACAACTGTAATCAGCAAGAACTGCCTCTCACTGGACATTTTCTCTTTTTCAGACCATTCTCTGTAAACCCTAGATATGGTTGTGAAAATCCCAGCAGATTAGCAGTTTCTGATATACTCAGCTGTCTGACACCAACAATAATACCACATTAAAATACACTTAAATCACATTTCTTCCTCATTCTAATGCTCAGTTTGAATTCCACCAGGTCAACTTGACCATATTATTTCAACCTTTTTTCTTTAAGGAAGAAAGAGAGCCTATTCGACCTGTCATAGGATCAAAGGCGGGATATACCCTGAACGGGTCGTCAGTCTGTCACAGGGCTAAAACATCTCTATGTTTGTGCTCACATTCACACCTCTGGACAGTTTAGAATCTCTAGTTAACCTAATCTTAACCTAATCTTTCTTCCTCCCACAGTCCAAGTACCTGGAGAGAATCCAATTAGAAAGGCCCCTATTAATAAGCAAGCAGCTGTACCCAATGAAGTGGCCAATGCGTGTATTTTCTCACTTATACAAGTTTTGAGCTTACGTGTTACCTTTGAAAAGGGACACGTCTCCAGTGCTGAGCTTCACTTCACTGCCCTGACTCAAAACAACAATAATACTCTTATTTCACAAACTCACACACTCAGAGTAACCGAATCGCTCAAATCTGCTGTCACAATCTATAGTCATACATTCCTAAGTTAATATGCATTTAATAAAATGCCTACAGCATCAAGTGAAGAAAACATGGATAAACCGGTTCATCGACGGCATGATGGTATCAGTGTGTACCACCCACATTCAACGACACGTGGAGGTGGACCCACTATCACCGTGGGGGGAAAGAAAATGAAGAAAATGTGCACCGTGATCCAACATTTGGCTAAGCCAGTGAGTAAACAGGCAGGCCATTACAGTGAAAGAATAGTGTGACAGTGACAAATACTACGGGCCCATGTGATCAAACATACTTTAACGCCACCTAGCGGTGAGATTTCAGATGACATAAAAAGGTGTTTAAATGTGGATTATCACGTTTTATCTATTTATA